CCGCGCTTGCCCTAATGCATTCACGCAGGGTGGGGAGGGCAGCCCGACAGCTTTTTATGAATCGGTCCGAATTCCTAGCCCAGGGCGGCCAGAGGAAGTGGTCGGTCCAGGAGGCTCCGGGAGCCGCCTGGCATTTCGTTTCGCCTGCCACTATATCCGGTGGCTAGTGCTTTTCGTTTTAAGGTTTTCGGGGGCAACAACTGACGAGTTGCGGTAGGTTCTGTTCTGCACCTTTAGTCAGGTAGGTAACCTATAACAAGCCTATAAAGCCCATTGCTGTCTTGACGCTGGGACGTATAGTGGGTTTACGACGGAACTATACCGTTTGAAGGGGTGGTAACAGACACTTATTGGGTCTGGTGAGTGGTGACTGGTGAGTGGCGCCCATCGCGACCCCCGTCGCGCACCGACGGGGGTCCGCGCCCACTTGCATCCGACAGGAGGCGGATATACGCCCCCCCCCCCCCGAGATCTTGAGAACGAACAAAGATAGCGATAAGCGGTTAACGACATAGGGTACACACCAACAAAGTCTACAATTTTTAGTGGGGTCATTTTCAGGTCAGGTCAAAGATGACGTCACAGGGGTAAAAAAGTGAAAATAGCGGCACTAGATATTAAGTTTTTCTCGAATAACTTTCGAAGTATAAAAGCTAGGAACAAACTAATAGCACCATCGTGATCCCTTCGTTGATCCGCATTGAAACAGATGTATGTTGACCTCGAAAGGCATAGGCGTAGGAACAGGGGGGCCGGGGGGGCCATGGCCCCCCCACTTTCGGAGGTGGGGGGGCCAGCAATGTTAACTGGCCCCCCCCACTTTTTGCTGACTTAAGTGTCTGTCTGTACCTAACCTACCACCCGGTAACTTGACAACTATTCAGCTTGCCCTTTAATGAGGATTCCTTTTTGTTTCTACAGCGTTATTGACCGCAATTTCCTTCACTCAATGAAGGAAACCATATCAGAGACAAGACTGTGAGTCCTGGTGACAGCATTTTGTTGAATACGAGGCGCGGGACAGCGAGCACTAAAAAGGTATAGGCAATACTAAGACAATACTAGCACGGTGCAGGAGAATGCGTATACAAACGACCAACGCTTGACCTTATCTGCTTGGGGTCGGCATAGTTCGTCAAAGGCGTACTAGCTGGGGGCCAAGGTGACCGTGCCTCAGCCTCGGTTCAAACAGGCTGGGGGCCAGCAATGTCTGTTTCTGCCCCTTCCACTTTCAGTGCAGTGGCGGTCGCAGAGGGGGATCAGGGCCATGCCCTTCCCCCTCCAAAGGCTAATCAGGGGGCCATCATATCATTTGGCCCCCCCCAAACAACCAATGGGCCCCCAGGGGCGTATGGGGCTCTGGCCCTTATTCGATTGTCAAGAGGCTCGAGAATCCCACGCTAGCTATTAACAGCTCCCAAACCAGTCTTTGAGGGTCCTACACTGATCTCGGAGGGCCCTTCAGTGGCGGTCAAGCGCCCACATTGACCGCTGAGAACCCACATTGACCTCATTTGAGGGCCCCTAAACCGGCCTCAAGGGCCCAGCCGGCGTCTGAGGGCCTCACACCGGCCTCTGGTGGCCTCATTTCTGTCTCTGGGGTCCCAAGACTAGCCTTTAGGTGCCTTTGAGGGCCCCGCACTGAATTCTGAAGACCCGATGCCGGCCTCTAAGGGTCCGCATCGGCCTCTGAGGGTCCACCTTGGCCTAGGGGTCCAACGCCGGCCCATGCCGGTCTTTTAGGGCCCCACACTGACCTCTAAGGGCCCATGCTGACCTGTAAGGACCCACATTAGCCTCTGATGGCCCAAGTCGGCATCTTAAGGTCTCATCTTGCCCTTTGCAGGCCCTGTACTGGTCTCTGAGGGCCTTAACCCTCGCCGGCCGGGGGGGGGGGGGGCGGGTGCCGCCCCTCCATAGTTTTTTTTCGCGATAGCTCCGAACACGCCGGCGATAGAGAGCTGAAGCTTGGCATACCTGACCTTTGAATCAAACGGGATCTTTTGACACCAAACGCATTTTCGGGTCAGATCAGGTCACTGACCCATGTGGTCCATAAGTGAACCTCTGCACGTTCTTCAGATGTCGCAACTTCGCAACGCCCTCACTGCCAGAGGAGATTTCACAGGGAAATGAACCTTGGAGGACCTAGTATCCAATAGGAGTCTCTCAACTTGTATAATGTAACTATATCTCGGATTTTTCCTAAAGTTCATATGAGGTCAGGTCATTTTCGTGACCTCACCATTAGGTATAAGTCAATGGGGATAAACTGAAAACTTTTCCTGGCGCCGGGAACGATCGATCTCCAACTATCTCAAGCACACCGAATCGTGATTTCATGCACTCCTTGCAAGGTTCGATGCGTCACTTTTGCAATGTTGACCTTGCGCGACGTCATTTATGAAGTTATAAGGGTCTTATTAGTTTTTCGTCAATAACTAGGTACCGATCAAATTGAGCTAGCGAGTCGGGAAAGCCACCTATGGACTCAAGAAGACCTGCCGAATCGAATGATATGCGACATGACCTCCTTCGACCAATTTCGTGACCTGGGGACGCCGACCTGACCGTGACCCGAGGTCAACACCCTAAGTTTACCTCACCCAAACAAAAAGTATATCATTCGACGCGCCTGAGAGAGGCGAACACGATGCTGGCAAAATCGCGGCTCTGCGGCCATTTTTTGCGAAGTTATTCACCAAAAACGGAACCGTGCCTTGAGGCACTTGACCTGACCTCAGAGGTCACCGGTTTTTGTTTGTTTTGTTGGGTTAGGCCCTTTCGGTCCAATGAGACCATTTCAGAGCCGGAAGGATGATAGGATATAGGGGGAGACATTGGTCTGGGCAGGCACCCTAGTGAGTCGCCGGGGCTGAGCCCGTCCAGAGGACAGGCCACCCAGCCCCAAGGCACTCACTGCACCCGGCTACAGGGTGCGCTCCCTCGGGAGCAGCGGTGCCGCTCCAAGGGAGCAGCCCGCATGAGATAAAGTTGCCTGTCCAGCCCGGAGGGGGTTGCGGTGTGGAGGAGAAGGATTTCAGTATCCTGAGGATAGAAGCACGGAACGGTGTCAGAGGTCACCGGTTGACCTAGGACCATAAAATCGGGTATCGATCTCTGCGTCTCGTAACGGCGCACACGCTCGTTTTACCGCGACGCGCTAGCTCCACCTGGGGCGAAACGGCGAGGGGGGTCGTACCCGCCCCCCGCCCCCTCGGCCAGCGCGTATGTAGAAAACCTATAGGACCGGGCCGTGGAGGGTTAAACTGGCCTCTGAAGGCCCAGACCGTCTAAAAGTCCCACACCGGCCTCTGATAAGTGATAGTCAATCAGCCCAGTTGCAGTGGTCGCTGATATAAAACCTCTTAAAAACGTTATAGGCCTGGCTGAGCCTAGCTGGGCCGTTCATGCTGATTTTTATAGGTATATTGAAAAGACTCGCTTTGCACGTTTCACGCTTGCTCGTAATGAAAAAGTTGCTGGATGCCTCTGGTATTTGCATGGGTGCCAACGGCTGCGGAGGACAGGGGAACGCGTCCATCAGTTTGAGTTTATGGACGGGAGACTCCCTGAAATTTCAACCAATTTTTTTCTTTTTTTGTCTCGATTTTTTTAAACCTCTGAGCATGTTTGCGAAAACAAAGTGGCCGAAATCCGAGGAGAAATCGGACTTTGGGGGTAGGTTAGGTTTTGGATCTCTGGGACCCTGGCCCCCCCACTTTCGAAAACGTTCCTACGCCTATGTCGAAAGGTCAAGGTCAAAGGTTGGTGACCTCAAGGTCATGTATATCATTCGATGCGCCTTGACGAGCTGAACACAATGAGATCATCTGCGCGGCTGTATCTCGTTCAGGTAATGAGTTATTAGCAAAAATCGTCGGTGACCTTAGATGACGTCACACGACCTTACAGCTGCCCAAGAGCAAAAAAGGCCTCAAGGTAGCCAAGGTTGATCGTATGTGAAGTCACTCATGGTAGGTATATTAGGCCATTCCGACGCGTTTTAGTGTAAAATAAGGGAGTTGATTGTTCCCCATTGACTTATAATGGGGTGGTTAAGAAATTGACCTGACCTTAGGGCATCGATATCAAAATTCCGAAATACCTATATAAATTGTAGCTTCTAATGACATCGTTACATCCTACAAGTTTCAAAGGACTCCGTCATCTACTGTAGCTCTGACACGGTGAGTGACTAAGTTGCAAAAGTGATTTGAGGTCGGGTCATTCAAAGTGACCTGGTGACCTGACCTTGAAAGGTAGGAGGTTCAACCTTGCACACAATGTGTAAAATTGATGAGGGAATAGTCATGCCAAGTTGCGCCGCGATTTCCGCTATTTGCAACAATAACTCAGGGGGGGGGCGGATATCCGCCCCCCCCCCAGTCGGTGCGCATGGCAGACAGGTGGCATCTGATGTAAGAAGTATCTTGTGCCTTCCACGCTTAGCGGCGGAACTATGCACCTTTCACGGGGGGGGGGGGGAGGAAGTTAGGAGAATAGTGCCTTCGGTGAGAACAGGACTGGCGTTTACCCGTTGCGGTGTGCGGTGTAATGGCAGGCTCATTCATCATCAGCGGTAATGTCAGAAGGTTCCGGTGGGATAATGGGAAATTAGTGACCGTCTGTTGGCTTGTAACATGTGCCCTCCCCGGTCGGAGCATTGGGTGCCCATTACTCTTAGCAAAGGTCCTACCTCAGCTTGGCGGGCCGACGCGGTGGGCGGTATCGGAGCTGCGCGGTCCGGCGCGGCGCATGACGAGCCCCGGTGTCGGTAGGCTCCGGACGAGTCCGCGGTGTCGGTAGGCTCCCGACGAGTCCGCGGTGTCTGCAGGCGCCTGACGTGCCCCGGTGTCTCCAGGCACCTGACGTTTCCTGGTGCCTGTAGGCGCCTGACGTGCCCCGGTGTCTCCAGGCACCTGACGTTTCCTGGTGCCTATAGGCGTCTGACGTGTCCGCGGTGTCTCCAGGCACCTGACGTTTCCTGGTGCCCGTAGGCGCCGCGCCATGTCGCTGGCCGTCTCGACGGCGGTGGTGCTGTTCGCCTGCCTGGTGGCCCACCTGCTGCGGCTGACGGTCCGCAGGTCCGTCCACAGCGCCGAGCTGCGACGACTCCTCGCCGAGGCCATCACGGCCAGCGAGCTCTGCGCCTGCGCCTTCGAGCTGGGCATCAGTGAGTGACTCCCGATCGACGCACACCGATCACATCTGATAGTGGACACGGCTCAAAACCCTCTGAAACTTGTCTGTTCACTCATCCGGTGTTACCAATGTCCATTCAGAACATTATCACTGCACGCGTGCATATTTCATGCTCATTGGTTTGCATATCAATGACCGCACGACTTACATTGTCTTGGCATAACACCAAAGGGTTGTCTTGAACACATGCATGCACGTGATCCTGTCTTTCAGCGTATATGTTTGAACACTAAAGCCGATTTGTTGCTTTTTGAGTCTCACCCGCACACATCGCCTTCGGCAGTCGCTGGAAGTTACGGAGTAGGAACGTACGCCGTCTACCTGTTCCTGTTGTGCATATACCAGTCGTACGCGTGGGGCGAGGTGTACGCGTGCCCGTACCTTCACGTCGAGGACTGGTGGCTGGGACAGCAGGCGGCTGGCACGGCGGCGCTGCGCATCCTGGCTGAGGTCATCGGAGGCTGGGCCACCTGGAGGTCAGTTGGCTGGCGGGCTCGTGCAGACGTGCAGCCAATGTGTATTTTAGATAATGCACCAATGAGTCCTGTTTTAGACATAACTTTAGGACTTTCCTTCATCTCCATCTTGCTTATCATTTTACATTCGAAATCAGTTGACCGACAATTTGAGACATGAAAGCACAAAGAACGTTCCCAGTTCCACGAGGTTGAGTTGTTTAGAAGCGGGTGATCAATCATGAACTTATTGTAAGTTATTATAATGTCACACGTTTAGCCATTTCGCAGGAAGTGGGTAGGCGCATTGCATATCGTAACGGTCACGTGTGAATTGTGATGCGAGAAATCTTGAGCGCTCCGCATCATTCACATGTGTGGTGGAAGAGATGGGATCAACTAGTGAAGAAGAAAATGTTTCGGCTTTAGCATCGGCTCTACCAGATGACTAGAGCCGATCGCGTTCCTATACCAGAGGGCAGCAGTAGGGGAGAGTGGGGTAATTTGGCCGCTTTTTTTAGAAAACGATGTAACTTAAAGGAAGGGTGCCACCTTTTGGACACAACGCAGTTTTTACAAGATTAGCCTCACATGAACCTAAAAACCGGCTTCACTTACCTATGCTCGAGACGGTCAGCATTGAATCCGCACGTGAAGTTATCATTTGCCAGTTTTGCTGCCAGCATTTTGGCAGGCAAAAATCTTCAGCACTATTTCCTCGTCGTGTTAAGGGTATTTTATAAAACATGAAATCAGCAAAGGTATGTATAAAAGTTATACTTTTGAAGCATGTTTTATCATTTTGAAAGGGTATATTTTTTCTTTATGGTATACACTTAAGTTTTAAAATTTTAATTGGGAAGTTTTTCTAGTAAGTTGCATGAAGGGTGAAGGGTTCCATAGATCTCTTAAGCATTGTAAAGGAAAAACCTTTACTCGACTTATTTGATGGTAATCTTGATTTGATGTTCTTTTCTGATGTTCTTTCTGATGTTCTTTTGATGAAACCTTTAGTTCAAATCATGTTATCTTCTTTCTTTTTATTTGTTCATCTTTTTGTCTCAGTTGCGCCATCAATGCAAATGGCAGAATGATATGTTGCCATGACAACAGGATATGCCAGCCGTCCTAGCTGCCACATCAAACGACCTTGAGTTGTAGTGGTGATATAAACAACGATCTTTTTTTTTTTGGCCAATGTATTAAATGCAATGTTTCGGTTTTTTGTATATTGTGGACGCGCTAACCACGTCTAAAAATTCAAATAAGTAAAATAGATTCATAGAACAAAAATTTCGGAAGGTGGCACCCTTCCTTTAAAATTGACGACACATTTCTGCATTTTCTCAACGCTGGCAGGTGTCGCATTCATTTTACTTTACTGGACAGTGAACTTGAAATGATGGAGTAATTACTTATATTGAAATTGTGACGTATTACAAAGGTCTGCAAGGCGGCCAAATTGCCCCACTAGCAGGGTTATTTGGCCGGGGGTGTGGGGTAATTTGGCCGGTGTTAGTTTGCGGTCGGAATTTTCTGTTATATTGCGCGTCAGCTTCAGATTCAGCAATGACGTGTGTCCTATGACGCATTTACCACATTTTGGAGGCTGACTCATGGGGTCACAGCGGTCAAAATAGCCAAATTAGCGGCTCTAGATGCGAAGACAGTTTTTAACGAATAACTTTTGAAGTAATCAAGCGAGGCCAAAACTAAAAACACCATCGTAATTCTCTCGTCATTCCGCATCGAAACATGTATGTGTTGACCTCGAGAGGTCAAGGTCAAGGTCAAGGTCAAGTTTGGCTTCAGGTCACGTTACCTCAGGTCGCTTGACCTCAAGGTTACGTGAGTTCAAGGTCATCATGCATATCATTCGATGCGCCTTGGCGAGCTGAACAGAATGAGACCATTTGTGTGGCTGTACCATTTTTATGTAAGGATTTATTAGCAAAAAACGTTTGGTAACCTTTGATGACGTCACATGCTCTTACAGTTGACCAATCGGAAGCAAGGCATCAAAGTAGTCAAAGTTGGTCATGAATCATGTCATTTATGGTACAATTGACCATGAAAACTCGGCCGTCCCAGCATAGTGACCATGAGCGCACCGGCCATGTTGCCCCGCTAGTCCCGGCCAAATTACCCCATATTGCCATTCTGAAAATTTTTGTGTATAAAGTCATCACGGCTATACGGAATTAGATGAAATTGCTCTTTGATCCGCTTAACACCCCCAAGAATGGCGCTATAATGTCTGAATTCGTTTTTAGCCCAAATACTACATGTTATACAACTTTGTAAACAGAAGTAAAAGTTACCATTTTCTAATGAAATTAACGTTTTATTAATTTTGAATAAAACTACGAGGGGCAAAGTTTTGACATTTGTCCTCCAGTTATTTCTACCCATGACAAATGAATAGAGACTAGCGTTATTTCACTCACTTTTATTAGACATCGTACAGGTGGGGGCGGCCAATTTATACCACCGGCCAAATTACCCCACTCTCCCCTACTTACATGCGGAGCAAACAGCCTGGGCAGCGAGGTGCCTGGCTGGCCGCCTCACTAAGTACCGCGGATGAGCGAAGATACGCGGGGTGACGGACGACACGTTATGGCCGCGATATCCGTGGGAACGCGACGCGTGTCCTCTCGGCAGAGTACGCGCTGTTGGCAGGCATGGGAATTATGATAACGGTCGAGCGTTGTGACATTATATTTGAAACTGCGTCAGAAGGTAAAAATTTAGGTAAGCATTGTTACCCATTTACCTCGTGTTGTGGGCTGTGAGAATGCATTCACGAGCTGAAGTGCTGACCACGCCGGTGCTGTCGGCAGGTACGTGCGCGCCCTCTGGTGGCTGGAGCTGGCCGCCGGCCACCGGGGCCGCTGGGCGGAGGCGTGCACTGCCGACCTGCAGGTGTCGCCGCTGCACGGCGCTCTGGTCGAGGGCGTGGCCGTGCTCCTCTGCCGGCTGGTGGCGCGCGCGCTGCACGAGCGCCAGCACCGCTTTGCCACCGCCATTGACGCGTTCTGCGCCACATCGCTGGTCGTCGCAGGTAGGCTGATACCGTCAGCGAGACAGATCATTGTACCCCAAACGACCTCGATGAAGACACATACGAGTGTGTAGTTTCTTTGGCGATTTCGCGCGATGAAATATCATGCTACATTCTATACCGAACGGAAGCAATTACTCCCTTTCAGTTTTCTTTCACCACGAAGCACCGTGCTGATGTCAGACATGACGCACCTCTTGCTGGCAGGCTTTAACTACTCGGGCGGCTACTACAACCCGATGTTGGCGAGCGCGCTGAAGCTGGGCTGCCGCGGTCACACTGTGGCCGAGCACGTGGCCGTGTACTGGTGCGCGGCCACGGCCGGCGCGCTGCTCTCCACTCAGCTCTATCCGCTGCTGCGGCCCACGCTCACCGGCCGCGCCGAGCACAAGCGGGACTGAGTCGGAACGCCAACACCTGGTGTCCGTTCGGAGGCTGTTTTACACTGGTTGACTTCTGAACGGAGGAGACAGGGTACACGAGGAGAAAGCCGTCAGAGCTTGAAGCTGGCAAGCTACACTGCCATAATCGTCCAGCTGAAACGGCCAACTTTCACTTTTGACGCCAGAAATGTATACAAATACAAATATGTGAGCGTGCATGCGTGTAGTGTATGAAAACTGCAAATAAATGAACTCATTGCCCTTGAATCAATGTCTTCAGACCAGAGGAGAGCAATCGACCAGAGAAGCGATTATACGGGCTGCAACGAAGAGCAGATGATTTTCAAGGCTCAATTTCGGCAGAAAGCATTGCAGACACACTTCAAATGATATGAATTGAGGCGGAGGGATGGGGTGATGTTCAGATGTGTTCCCCGCCTAGAATGGACCTCAACAGGCTAGAAACCACTACATTTCAGAAGTGTTTGTGGTAATATTTCCATGACGAGACACTAGCAGAACACAATTGCATTTTGCCAGTGTTAACACTTCAACAACGCTCATCACAATGCCCACTTGCAGCAAACACAACATCATGTTCAATCACAAAAGGGTCATTTACTCCAAGTCCCATTCAACACTAAATCTAATCACTAGCCTTTGTTGAGCCTTCTGAAAGTCCCTTTTTCTTTTTGTCTTCATCTATGACATATTGAAAAAGTTCAGACAGGTTCTCAAAGTCTACCTTTGAGGTGGGTGGGTCACTCCTTGGTACAGATGGGAGCAACTGACCCATCTTCAGACGGAATTCTTCAAAATTGCTGGCACCACTTAGCTTCCACACAGTGAAGCAAAACAATGAAAACCCACCAACAGAGTACATAGTAGCCCTTCTCAAGGCCTTCATTGCTAGTGAAGTTCCTGATTCAAACACTTCTGCGGCATTTTTCTCCCCATTTGGAATCTTGGGTGAAAGACCTTCACCAAAATATTGAGGGTCTGACTTCTTTGCAGCAGCTAGTGTTGTGCCAAATCCAACAAGCATGGACATTCCAGTCAGTCCAGTAAAGAATGCCAATTCTGGCCAATGGGATTTCAGCCAGCTATGCTCATTATTCTCTGTGTGATTCTTCATGTTATCATTTTGATCTCCATTCATATTCTCTCAAAATTCTGGATGTTTAATCCTGTCCTCTGATACCACCTGAAACAACAAATAACAGATTCCACAGGCTGCTTTTTTGGAGTTGGAGTTAACATACTCCAATGTTGGTATCATATAGGTACTACAACTAGCTGGAAGATTAAAGAATGAGGGAAAATGCCCCTCCATAGAAACACCAAAAGACACCAAAAATTTATTTAAAAAAACTGGGGAGTGTACTTAGAAGTTACTATTCTGTTAAATTGTTCTCATATTGATACATTCACATACCTCAGGTTTACCATGAGTGTTAGGTCAGGAGCATGTAGACCAGGGTAATTTCTATAACCTTCATGCAACAGACAACATTTGGTGCCTAGGTACAACTACAGTGCCAAACTATGTGGTTAATAGAAAGAGCCAAAAATTTTAAGCACTTAAGCCTGATAAACCTAGGAAAGAACAACATTTAAGTGTCTGACTTACTTAGGACATACAAATGTATAATTCCATTACGAGAAAATCTGTACAAGGTGCAACTGCAGTGTGAGAAATGTTCTCAGATAGGTAACTTCATATTGGGGCAATATAAAAGTGTGTCCACCAATAGTGACTGCATTTTAAACCAGGGCTGTGATTGTGAAGTTGATGGATTTTTCAGTGCCTTCAATCTTGACTTCAAATATTGACTCTGACTGACTGGGTAATGTTCTTAAATTCCATATGATTTAAGTTCAGTTCATGTCAGAGATCTTTTTGACTTGCCTGAAACAACACTTTTGGCATTCAAAGGCCTTCCATTGCTGCCTAATATACTTCCAAATTATGATGCTGAACTAAAAGCAGGGTCTGATGCAGAAGCCAGCTTCCACTTTTTTTAATGAAAAACTTATTTTTGTTATCATGTTTGGGTATAGAGTAGAATAGAATAATTTCAATTTAAGTTGAAGTGCAGTGAAGCATGAGTCGAACGGATTCAGTTCAAGAAAATATCTTGAATCAACTCACCACAAATTTGAGTCGTAGACAACCCTCCATCATATCTTACCTAAGAAAATCATGGAATTATAACTCGAAGACTCTGAAAAAAGCATCCAATTTTATTTTTATACTGTACCTAAGTGTTCTGTGATGTATGCATTGAAAATCTATTTAAAAACCTTCAAATCCGAAAGAAATTTATTGTAAATATTTCACTTAACATATGAACGAATATTATTTCAAGAATGAAGTACAAATTCGTGAAGAAACGGTTGCGAAAAATCCATTAATACGACAAAATAACCCGAGACGCCCGAGACCCTCCCAACAACCATCATCACCCCTTGCAGTTGCACCCAACTCACCGCGTCAGTTTCGTCTCGAGCGTCTCGAGTTTCAGGCCTGAGCCGAGTTTTCATGACAGGACGCGTATTTACAAATTGCAACCGAGCTCCGCCGTAGGGTATTTTATTTCCGCCGTAGTGTATTTCACTTGGGGGATTTTCTACCATACATTTGCCTACGCTCAGGGTAATTACAATTTGTCGGCGACGTTAAAAAATGATGCACCTTTTTTCGCAGTATAGGATATCGCATGTGCATATTTCTGCCTTTTTGGGTGCGCTTTATCGGTTTTTCGTGAGTAACTCGCGTAAAAACCGTCCGATCGCGACGAAACTTTCAATGCCCCCGATTTTATCAATTTTACACCTACCTGACCCAAATGACCTTTGACCTGTGACCTATTTCTCGAGACCATGTTTGGCCCGAATCGCGATTCGGCGTATGTCGGCTCGCATTAGCCGCGCGGTTGCAGTCTTCACTTGGTTTCAAGCGTTGAAACATGTGATATGATGCAGCGATGCTGGTCCCATGCATTAGGGTGGGTGTCAAGGTCACCTGAAGGTCAGGTCAGCTCAATGACCTTTGATGACCTCGGTTCCTTTTTCGAGTTTTACATGTTTCTAGGCTAGTTTTTGGAGCTGATTTCGAATTTAGCAACCATTTGAACATAACAGGGGGTGTAACGAAATTATCCGAACACCTTTCTTCCCGCTGTAATTAAAAAGCAAAAAAATCTGGTACTTTTTCTTTTAACTGAGCTTGTAGCCACCTTTCATAAAAACACAGTGATGAATGTTCTGGAGCATTTCAGCCAATGGATTCTCCAGCACACTGACTTTGATGCGGACCAACGCCGTCTAAACCTGTGCCTGCGGTTGAGCAGTGCTTATGGCGGGTGGCTCTTCATACACCTCCTGCTGAACAAGAGCCCACGCCCCACAGGTTTTCGATTGAATAGGGATCGCGACTTTTTCCAAGTCATAAGCGTTAGCCCAGAATGATTGAAGGTTCTATCGGCATCACTTCCCGTTCTTTTAGGGACTTTTAAGTAGCGCGCCGCCCCGCATGAAGACAGTGTGGCTTGAATCAGGCATCAGTGCGCGTTCAGAAACCGTGCCCTCCTATGCCGTCTGGTTGAGCGCCTCCAATCATGCTCCTACACCTTCCCTGGAAAAACTCCACCCTTGCCTATGGGGCAAAAAATAAGGGACAAAAACACAAAACAAGACAGATAAAAACAAAGCAAAATTAACTCATTACCTAATGAAATTCAGGCTGGAGCAAAAACATAGGTAATAGGTATCTATGTCAAATTAGAATGAAAGACTAAAATCAACCTGACCAGGCCTTACGGTCTGACCTGGTCCTAACCACCTTACTTCGCCTAACTTAACCCAATTCAACCTAGCCTACCACAACACCTGCAGAGGTACCTTCCTGGAAAAATGACGCCCAGGGAGGTGACTGTCCAACTTATTGGAATAGGTACTACCATGATTGCTTGTCAAAATGTGTGTCATCATGCTTTTGTTTGACAAGTGATGTAGGTATAATAAATGTGATATTCAATAATTATCTCCTGACTGCTGACTGTTGAGTGATCAAAATATTCAAATAATCAGGGTACAATGCTTTGCGTAGTGCACACTAATCATGTTGTTTTTGTGTAGGCCCTCTGCACATTGTTGTGTGCAGTGCTATGTGCACCTTAAGTAAAAAAAGTGACTGGTGGTACATGACAAAAGGTTGTGCAACTGTGAAGTTCATGCCCTTGGTCAAGCTGGTGCCAAATGCCTATAGCTATAGCAGGATCAGTGAGGGTTGTAGACATGCTACATACATTGTGCATTGAAGATATTGGCACAAAGTTCATCCGTAATTACTATGCTTAACACCTAATGTAAGAAGCGACATAAATGCCCAGATGATAAAACTCTCTGGTCAACATCACACAAATTTATTGAGATACTTTGCAGCAGGGGTCGGCAAATGGTGGGGCATGCCCCCTTTGGGGGTAATGGCGCCCTTCGGCGGGGGGTAATGAGGGCCTCTGAGAAAGCCTCATCTTTTTTAGAATTAATGGCTCCCTTGATGGGACAAACATCGCAACTGTTGTGCCCCAGGATTCAAAGATTAGTCGAGGTCAAACGCACAAAGCATGAACTGATTAGCTGGCGTATGCCAATTTTCATGTATCTGCTCACCATTCCGTACAGTCGTGGAAAGTAACTGTCATGTATACTAGCCGGCGCTCGTCTATTGGCGTTTTCACAGTCACTAACGCAAGGGAGAGGAGTCGTCCATTGCACCCTGACCTGAGCGTCTCGGTCTCTGAGCTGGAGCTTTGCAGAAAAATTGAGCGTGTTGACCGTGAAGTTAAGCAGCCGCTGCTACCCAATTTAAAGGTCGTTGGTCATTGGGTGACCTTCCATAGGTCAATAACAACTGCCGAGTTAATCGGGTCCTGCTGTAACTTCTTGAAGTGAGATTTTGTGGCCTGCCGTGGCCTCAAGAAAGATCTCACAAATCAACGGTTATTCGGGTTAAGGTCATGCCATTTTCAGGACAGATAAAAATGATCGGTTCGATGGTACAGTTTTTTTTGTGATCCGACCCTTTTAACGTGATCTATTCTTGAAAAATACCCGCTACTCCTATACGTATGGGGGTTAACCTGCTGGAGATGGAGGTTGAACACCCCCTATTCACTTGGCTCCTGGGTCACTACCGAAACGCCGTAGTCGGCGATCGAAAGAGCGTAAGAAATGATGAAGAAAAAACTTTGGTCACCTTTTAGGTCAAATCAAAGGTCAGGTCACCAGAGGTCATCGAACGTAAAATTTCACTAATTTCCAGGTCAACCTTTGACAATTTTCGACAAACTGGCCTATAGCTCAGGAAAGGATAGAGCTACAGCGCTGCGGAAAAACGCATTCGATAGCTCTCTTAACGTTTTTTTCTGATGCCTGTCCTCAGATTCAACCGAAGATGGTTTAGCCTTCAGGAGACAAAAACTGCCAAAATGTACGTTGCTTGCTGATAGTTTTTCTTAAATAACTTTTCACTCAAAACTTGCAAGAGCTCACTTTTATCAGCATCGTGATCCTCCCGTCGAGAAGCATCGAAGGTTTTGTTGCACATCAGTCGATCCGTATCGTCGAGCTGAACACATCTAAGGCATTTTCATCGCTCTGGGATGCCTTTATAAAAAATTATTAGCGAATAGCTGTTAGATACCATTCATGACCTGAAATGACCTCAGGGACCTACAGTGGGGTTACGGGTGCAATTTTTCGGTTCAGCGGTCATGTTTACTTGTAAATAAAATAAGAGTGTCACAGTGTTAGGAATGACACTGGTCCAAAACAGGCGCCTTTCAATTTTCTACCATTGACTTTGCGCCCTCTCCCATTGATAATGGGAGAGGGCGTGAAATTGACCTGAACTTTGGTCACCGACATCAAATCTCCGAGATAAAATTTTGTACATGTTGTTGCCTTTATCAATTCCTGAAAGTTTGAAAGAGATCTGTCACTCAATGCAGCTAAAGCAGGCGTTGCAGTCTTTACTGAGGTGAGGTCGCTTGACCTGATCTGGTGACCTGACCTTGAGTGACTCTGGTCTGAAATATTCACACCATGTGCAGAAACGATGTATGATAAAATGTTCCAAAATGGTGGCACTCCGTGCCAACGTTTTTGAGATATTTGCGAGAAACCGCAGGGGAGGGGGCCTGCGGTTTCTCGTAGATATGATACCAAAGAGTCACGGAAAAGTATGGAATTTCAGTACCTTCGTTGTGTCGCCAATGGGGTCTGGTACTTGGTAGGTGGGGGTAATGGCCCTGCCTGGCGCCAAAAAAGGGGGCACGACCCCGGAGGACCTGCCGACCACTGCTTTGCAGGTACATATTTACATTCATGGCAAATACTTTCGATTTGATTCAGAAACTAGTTGCTAGTAAGCTTGCATTTTTGTAGGTACCACAACGATCATATATTAAATCATAAAAAACCTTCTCATGGCATTCATCACATACCTTTTTACCGAACAAGTACCTAGCTACCATACAATGATTCTACAAATTTTCCGCAATCCATCTATCTATATCTCAACTGACACAATGAATTGAAATACCCTAGCAAAACCTATAAATGTACATAAAAAGAATGCAATGCTACAAGAACTATGAATTTCTGAAGTTATTCTCACATGCTGGAACGTTGAAACTCTACTTTTGTCTTCCATTTCCACGTTTGATTGAGCCATCATATCGAACTGTTTTCGGTCTTCAGTCACAAGCTTTCGCACAAATCTTGAATTTTTACACATCATCTTGAACCATGCTCCAGTCTTTCCAACAAGGTACTATGTAACATCAAAGCAATTTTGATTTGTTACAGCAGCTTCAGATCATGATAGGCTTGAGGTTTGTTACACCATTTGCCAGACAAATCGCTACAAAATGTGTATCAATTCCCAAACTAAGTAATTGATCATATCAGTATTTGCAGTTTCCACACAATGTTTCATAATATTATTCTATGTTTATATAAAGAAACTCAAATAATCCACAAATTGTTATTGAAACACTCCCACTTCAGTTGGTGACATACCAGGGAAATAAGCTAAAATTAGAGCGCTCTATTTATTGCTCCTGCCCCATGTTGAAGAGATACCCCTAAAAGCGTGATCTTTTATCGGCCCTTACGCAGCAAGGCAGTAATTCTCAGACCGGTGGATGGTATCAATAGAAAGAGAATGCATCAAAGATTAACATGAATTAATAAAAATAACATTAAAATGTTAATTAAGCGTGGAAATTAGTCCCAAACATAAGCTAATTATTGCTCCTACCTCGGCGACGGCGCTCCCCGCAGTCAGCGGAGAAGCTAAAATAAAAGCCACCATCCTCCTCCGTAAGTCAATTTTAGAGCGGCCGAGTGGGCCGATGCGGGGCCACCAAACTGAGGTGAGACGCGGCTAGCAATTGCAAAC